CATATGTGATCCACCTTTTTTTACACCTGTGCCCAAATTTTTAGTCGATAGTCTCGAGGGGAAGTCTTTCAAGGTTCGAGTGGAGAAAGGTTCCGCGTGATCAGTAATTGGACATGGGTGATTTGATCCTAAGAGATATAAAAATTCGTTTGAGATCTCGGCTGTTTGGGACGTGGGTTCGTCCTTGCGTTTTGTATGTATCCTCGTGTATCGAAAGGGAACTCGTTTTAAAGTCATAAACCGAGACGTGATAATATGTGGTAACACAACCCAAACCAGAAGACGCTGGCGTGAGCCCAGGGAAGAGTTCTCTTTCTTTTTCAACATGCATATACTTCCTTGGAATCGGATTACTCGGAGATAAGGAGGATGCCTTGGCAAAGCACTTTTATTTGTGAAGTGTTCTGTGCGCCCATGATAGCCCTCGAAAGTCCAGCCTAGAGATTTATTCGCACCCTCGTTCGTACCAAAATCGCATCAGGTCTCCAAGGTGAGTAGCCTTTAGTTGATAGAAGAATGTAGATAAGGGGAGTCGGTAACATAGTTCTGTAACTTCGGGAAAAGGATTGGTTCTGAGGGTTGGGCATGAAGGTCTATTTGAAAAGCTTGTGGCGGCCTACGCTGGGCTGCATCTGAATTTTTCGAGGATTGGATGCCAGAAATCGCCGTAAATGATTGCAGCTCGATATCAGAAACGCTTCAGGGCAAATTTTAGTCCTTGGGAGCTAATTTCCATGGGTTTAAGGGGGCTCCATTCACGTTTGTACTGGTTACTTCAGCGGTCCTCAAAATCTATGTTGATCTCCTTACTCTATTCTTGTCGTCACGGGGGTCAAAATTAAGGACCTGACAATAGCAAAAGTGTTATGTTATTGCATAAAAGTATGTATGCTTCAAAAATCAGCTGTAAAAACTGTGTCAGCAACTTCACACTGCAACACTTTGTTTACATTGCAAATAATTTTATACACTTTTTTTATTCAATCGTACTCACTTACTTCACAACACTCATTACTTTACAATATTTCATTACCTCAAACTTTGTACAACTAGGAAACTACTGCAGCTATACTCACTTACCAGTAACTCAATATTATATGACAACGCTTTATTGAAAAGAAAGTTTACACGCTCGAGTTAATAATTCCAATTGGACTTACTTAGTCAGTAACTACACATTGCAATGAAACAATCTATCGTATCAAGATTATGACGATCGGGTTATTACTCCGATTGTGTTTACTTTGAGACAATAAAATGCTGCACCACAAGGTTTTGCCACCTCAAAGGTCATATACTTGAAAATACTTCCAATTGTATTTACAAAGCAATTCCACATTGCAGTTAAGTATTTATTGTATCGAAATTAATGCACTCGTGTAACTACCCCAGGTCTATTCAGTTTAAACTAATTAAATGTTATACCACAAGGTTTCATTACGTCAAAGTCCACACGCTAAATTTATTGATTTTAATTTTATTCAATTTGTAAGCAACTACATACTGCAATAAAACAATTTATTGTAACAAAACTTATCAATATATTACAATAACAATGCATTATTGTATCAAATTGAATAATTCTGATTTTACACAATCACATATCATCAAATGTTTTCGTATTAAAGATTGCATGCTTGTGCAACTAGTCCAAACATACTCAGTCAACGACAATAGACAATAAAATTGCATCAAAGCTATTTAACTCCTTTCAATTGTACTCACTCCATAAGCTACGCTACATTGCATTGCAACATTCATTGCAGTAAAGTTTGTACGCTTGGAGAACTACTAAAATAGTCTACAGAATATATTGCGATACAATATACTATTATATCAAAATTAATACACATGAAAATTATCGCAATTGCGCATCCTTACTATCAGTATCAGTGAGTATCATGTCCCTCAGGTTAGCATTCATTAAAATATCATGAACACTAATAAATACACGCCTAATATTAGGTTTCTTCTTAACAAATTTATCACATTTTTCAAAACAATGCGACGTGTCCAACTACAAGCGTCGTATTCTCGACGATAAATTCTTGTCAAGCAAAAGTAAGCACTGGCAAGAACAACATTTGCAAGAGTCCGTTCGCTTATTAGACAATGTTGCGTAAGACACTACCAGACTGGGCACATGCACGAAGCAAACGTGCACTGAAACAACTGGATCGTATCAAGTCAAAGGCCCAACCACAATTGACATTGAAGTCCACATCAAACTTTGATTCTGATCGTTCATCATTCGATTTCACATCTGACGACGACCGTATGCTTTATGAGCAATTTGAACAGTCTCCTGCTTTCTTTGTAAAAATTGAGTCACAGAAAAAATCTCATTTGATCAAGGCAGGAGAAGAACTAGTTTTTCAACCGTCAAACAGATGGAAATCTTTTGAGGTAGATGCACAAACTTCCATCTTATACGGAATTCTTACAAACGAAACTTCAGAATTAGCAGCTTCGAATATGAATGTTAATTCAACGTCATTATATCACTTGAAGGAGGAAAAGGGAGCTCAAAACGACGCACCAGAACTAAGAAATATGGCTGCATTTCGACTTATTGTCTTTCTCGATGCTTTTCAGCAATTTGAAACATTGGAAACTTTCTTTCAGCCACTGCTTCTTAAATTTCCTAGAGGAAAAATACTGCTTTGTGGCTTCCCAACGCGTTCCAAACGTCATATCACGTGGAATAATGCGCAATTCGCCTCTGTCTACTTAAGTCTCCTTGAGCACGTCATGATGGAAACGCGGGAATGGCTTGTGGAACCAAAAATGGATCGAGCTGCTATGCCGCAGTATCTCATTGGGTTTGGGACTGGGGCCAGTACAGCTCTACAATTCCTTGGAATGGAGTTACCGATGCGACAAGCGAGAAGCGCCGATCATGGCGCTCTTACATGCTTCACTCGGTCATTACGCGGTCTTGTGCTGATTAATGCAGTTGTAAAGATCTCTGATGTCGAGCGTAGAACTCTGCGATCATTGCAAAAACGTTTTGAAGCCGGAGAAAGCGTTCACAAATTGGATAGTGACACTGCTATGCAACTGCGCGATACACTTGCATCTCTACCTTTCTCGTCTCACTATCGCTTGCATATGCCTCCTAGCCGTTCAGCAGCTATTGAGACCTGCTTTTGCAAGCAACGCAATGATCTTGACCGAACAGATACGTGTGCACTTCCTACACCTGTTGACACTCGAGCTACAGACGGGTTGCTTCCAGTTCTATTACATGGTACTATAAAGAATCGAGATGTCAGTGCAGCGATCGCAAACCTCGCAGCAGTCGTGTCTGAACCATTTGCGTTGATCCTTATCCACGGATCTCAAAACGCTCTTTTTGGTCCTCATCAAATTCAGTTAATGACTGAAGCAACGAACGAGTCTTCTTCTGAAAATTTTTTGCATGTTCAAACCGTGTCAGAAGCTTTGAATCTTGACAACGCCACAAGGGGGTCACCGGGCCAGTATTCTCGATGTTTGCATGTGACTTGGCTCAAAGGAGGTCACGAATTATTGCAGGAACAAAGTTCCTTCTTTCACAACTTTTTTTACCAACTGGCTTCAGCGGCTACAGCACGATCTCAGCCTATTTCTTTTCGCGAAAAACAAAGTCAAACCGGTTGTGAAGAGAAGTTTTGTCATCTACGACCACCGCCGGACTCTGATAGAGATAAAAAGATTCAGCTAAAAGATTCTCTGGTCCCTGAGCAAGAAATTGAGAGCGCGCGTATACCAAAGACCCAATGCATAAAAGCAAGCTCCAAAGTCCGCCAAAGCATTTCCGAACACTTGATGAACAACAGTATTCAGCAAGAGTTTTTCGATTGGGATATTGAGCGAGCTGGTTCGTCTGTCATCATCCATGAGCATAAGAACCAAACGCACTGCGTTGATGAAGAACAGGTACCACCTCAAACGCCTCGTCTGATGGAGCAGAGAGATCGTCGCGAGGCGATGAAAGACTTTCATTGCGACTTCGAGCAGATGAATTTTGTCTCGAGTTCCGTGGAAATTTACCGGCTAGATGCACCACCAGTGTACGAACGGTTCGATGATATCGCCAGTGGTGCTCAAGCGCTTGCCAAAGATCTTAAGCAATGTTACAAAACCAAAGCGCTTCACCTGCAAGTAATAGCCGAACGACGTCTTGAATTGAACGAACTGTCAAGTGGTCCACTTGCTGCAATGGAACTCGAGATACGCAACTTGAAGCGTATTTTTACCAAGGCACAAAGTACTGGTATGATTGCTAAAGCTGATCTGGGCACTGTTCGCATTCTTCCTATCACTTCAATCGAGATGCAAACACTTGGTCGAGAGCTCAATAGCAAGCGCAACACCTTAAAGCGAATGCAAAGTAATGCAACGCAACTTTGTCAAGATGTGGAATGGAATGACCAACTTTTGCAGCGTGTAAGTGTCATCATTCAGCGCAATGAAAGATTCCGTCAAATATTGTTGCCTAAGCTCTGTCTTTGTGCTGATATGGGCAATGAACGCGCGTTGTCTCTGCGTGAAGAATATGAGCGTCATATATCACAGCGCAACAAGCTCATTGGGCTGCTTGATAACTTAAAGCGACGACAAGAAAACGTGCGCGCTGAATACGAGCGTGCTCAAGCCACGTCCACATTCTTCTTTGATACGAACTTGCGCGTTGTTGGAGTTCCTCAGCGAGTACAACGTACAATTCTAGTTCAAGAACTTAAGGCTGAAAAGAAGTTATTACCTAAACGAATTGACGATCTTGTCGAGAAGGAGCAAGAGGCACAATCGGCAGTGAATTCGAGCAAAGTTGCTATGGAAGAAGTCGCTACACGAACGAAATTTGTCGAAGAAACCCGACGGACACTGGAAAGCATTTGTGAAGTCAAAAGCCTCGATACAGACAAGAAGACTCATGGCAAAATCAGTAACTTGAAACTGCAGCATTATTCGGGCGAAACTGTGAGGCTGAAGAAGCACACGAATCGATCTTTGGAGGAAAGACAATGGGTGGCGTTTGACTTTCTTTTAAATTTTGCTTTCTATCAGAAGCACGTAGCACCAGAAGAGATCGAGATCATTCAAAACCATGCTGACTACCAGCAAAAGATTGACAAGAAGCTGAATGTTGATGATCTCCAGCGTCTGATGCAGCTTCCAGCTCGCAATTGCCTTGCATTTTGTTTTTTTAAAACACCAGAAGAAATGAAAGCTCATTATCTTTTGCGCAAATATACTTTTGGAGACGGAGAAGACTACTTTGCTCAGCTGGATCATGACTTTATAGCTCCTGACAAAGTAGCCGGTCCATCCGCAACCATTTCATCGAGTCTCAAGGACATGTGTTCAATGCTCCAAATTTCTGCAGACACGTTATCGTTGCATGGTCCTTGGAACCCAAGCGCTCGGACCGCACTACTCAGTGAAAATTTATTGCAGCAGACGCTGCTTCACGTCCCACAAACTCAAATTCTCCCGCACAAAAACACTACATACAGTTTTCAGTTGCCTAAAGAGTCACAAGGTGTTGCAGTAGTAGCTCTCACTGTATCCATCGTCTTCCAAGGGCAATTTAAGTCCACTGATTATCAAAACGGACGACTTTCTGCCATGATGTACATGTTGCCTCCCGTATCCAGCCCGAGTTCCTTGCAGCAACGATATCAAGCCTCAATTCCGATTGGAAAATGCTTTCATGTCGACGATCTGACATTAAATTCCCCTCACTGTATGGGGAGACTCGTTCTTCGGCATGAGCCTCAGAGAATTCCTCTAAGTGCCGCGGCAACGTATCAAATTGTGATCGGGGCACCAATTTTGACAAACTATTCCCTCGAGGTATGTGGACGCACGGCCCTTTTCGCCGATGAAGCGCTGCGACGGAAGCGTATTGATGCGCTGAAGAAGCAAGCTTTACTGCCCCGAATGCAGGATGAGGTGCAAGATCTTTTTGTCACAATCCAGTTGAGTGAGCGCAAGCAGAGACTTGCACGTCGGCTTGCTACTGAGCTTAAGGAACAGGCCCGTGAAGCTGAACTTGATCTGCTCAGAAAAATTGAGTGTGATAATGATGAACCGTTACTAGGTCACGAAGAGCGCTGGGAATTGCAAAAAGCGATACAAGCAGCAACCAAAACGTTCACAGTCTGTTGTTTTCTGTACACTAAACGTGACGAAGAAGTGCGCGATATTGAGCAAAGTCTTTGCGATTTAATAAAGACTCACGAAGGTATTGTCAAAGAGTGCAAGCAGATGGAAATTTTGCTTTCTGAATACCGCGCAAATTTGCCTCGACTTGCAGCTTTACTATCAATCGATCTTGCAGCAGGAGACACAGCAGCAGCAAAACTAGCAAAAGAGTTGAATACTGAGTATATGACAAGAAATGGCACGAAGTCTGCCAAAGTGCGCTGGGCAGAGCTTTCCGCGATGAAGTCGATCATTCCATTCATGATGTCTTCAGCTGAGCAACTGCGACGAAAGTACAAGAGAGGAGAAGACACTTTAAGCAAAAAAGAACGCGAGTGGATACTTCTTGATCGCATTCTTCATCCACATTTGTATCAATGGGAGCAAGAGAAGCAAAATCCGATTGATGGAGCTAATACGAATTCTCCTTGTGTAAAACTTTGGCTTCATGGCGAATACCCGACGCTCTCAAATAGCGAAAAAGTGCTTGCGTCCATGTCATCTATGGAAATAAAAGCGATCATGGAGACTCCATGGAATATGTTGGAGCGTAAAGAAATTCCGATTCGCAAAATACTCACTCAATTTCGAGGTGACTCTAGAGGCAGCAGTATGTACAAAACTGCTTCATCAGAATCAATAGCAACTCTTTTGCGTGCTCAAAATTCTACCGAATTGACTCATGAGGAGCAGGAATGGCGCTTGTACGATCAATTGCTGAATCCAAAGTATTATTCTCGAGATTGTGAAATGACAGCAAAGGTAGTTCCAACTTCACGCTGCCAAGAGAATGTAACAATCTCACCTAAACTTACGAGAAAAGATCTCCTCATAGCAATCAACACGCCAGTTAAGGAATCATACAAGCTGCCGAAAAACTTGCTTCGTGCTCGCACGCTTCTTCTTAGATACGATCCTCAGAAGATCACGAAAACAACTTTAGCAACGCAAGTCCGACCACAGATTCAGGAATTGCAAACGGCGATCGTTAATTTAAACCTGGACGCACAATGTCGTGTCGTGTTCCATGAGCTTCAACGCGCACTTGCAAATACGCACAATAAGGATATGGACTCACATGTGTTGCACTCGACACCGCAGCGATTCCCAACGAATATATTGTGTCTAGAACTCGAAAAGAAATTGGACCGTTTGCTGATATCTCAGATCAAAGAAAATGACGACATGGAATTGGCCAGCTTTCTCTCCAAGCAAGATCTCAACAGAGATGAGGTGTCGGATTCTGATAGCGATGACGAAGCGATAATTGCCCGCGAAGAGGAAGCAAGGCGCAAAGCAAAAGAGAACGCTAAGAAAGAACCAAAATTTCGTGGAAAAATGCTTGGGCAAATCTCTTTGCAAAAGCAGCGCCGTGAGATTAAGAACGCGCTTCAAAAACGCAGCATTGACGAGCAGCGCTGGATCCAGCGGGAGCGTAAACTCGGAACAGGTGGCTGTACTGCTTGTTGGACGAATCCTTGTCAGTGGAAGCCTTTTTTAGAAAACTCGTACGCGACCATCCAAGCGCGGATTGACGTCATTTATAAGGAACTCGAACGCGTGAAGCACTATTCAGACAAGATCTTGACTTCAAATGTCTGTATGGCTGCGTTAAAGTCGGGAGATCAGACGATCACGATGCACAAGAGTGATTTAATCAACGAGTTGACCTCGGAGGTGAAGCTATTGGAAAAAAACTTGCGTTTGAAAAGTGTCGATGAAGAACTGCATGAAGCCTTTAGCTCTAAGAAACAATTTTTCGAAACGCAAGCATTGCATGGGTTCCACCAAACCCAAGACAAGAATAAAGTTCAGCGAGCACTTCAACACGAACACAATGCTTTAGTAGCTCATTTAACTGCTTACGAAGTGATTGAAGATATCCTTGAATCAATGCTAGAAGGATGGATGTTCGGGGAGCGTGTATCCAAGCGACAAGTTCTTGGGTACATCCCCAGTCTGAAGCTCGAAAGTCCTTTGACGATGCATGATCTGAGGCGCTTTGAACAGGATCATCGCATCCTTCATGCTTGCCAAAATCTTTGCGATGAACAGCTACAGAGTGCACGGGGATTGCCGTTAGAGAAGTGGAAACCGATCGAAGTCGAGGCGATTCGAATTAACGTTACTAAAAGAGTTATCCAGAATGGCTTGGAGATTGATAAGTCTTTAACTGAGACGGAGAACGCACTGAAGTTTGGGATCTTTTGCATGACACTGATGTACTTCCGAGGCTTATCATTGCTAAGAAAGCAACGTAGTTTCTGGTCTGTCTCGGGAACAAAGCTTCAATATGTGGTGGACTCCTTACAAAAAAGTGCCGAACGTCGTCGAATGGACATTGAGGAGAAGAACGTTGAGCTGCGAGCTCGCAAAGCTGCGTATTACGACATGAAAGCTCGAAATGGCCAGGCTCGCAAGCAAAAATTTTACGAGCAAAAATTGGCGGCTTACAGAAAGCGCTTAGTAGAAGAATACTGCACGGCCAAGAGTCAAAAGAAAGCTGCCATCGATATTCAGCGTGTGTATCGTGGCGGCTTAGGCAGAATTGCTGTAAAAAAGAAAATGATTAGACGACGAGAAATGAATGATCAACGTGCTCTGGAACATGCTGCAGCCTCTACTTTACAGCGAGTGTTCCGCGGACGCCTTGGTCGAATTGCCGCCGAAGATCGACGTGAGGAACTTGCTGAATCCGATTTACAGGTCAGCACAGAGGAGGAGATTGCAGAAGAGGAAGAATACTGGCGTATGCACAAGTTTGAGCTCTTAGGTCGGCAAGTCGCAACATTTGTCAGAAAAGTAGCCTAGGAAAGTCAGTCTAACGTGTGGACGAGAGTCAGTTGCTACATTGCACTAAGCTATCGTGGCACAACAGCTATTGACTTCTCTTACCGAATGAGGGTATCGAATTTATGGTTGTTCAGCTATCGGAAGTGAAAGGCTTACCAGCTTGACTAGCTCTTCAGTTTTCTTGCGACGATTTTGTGTTTGCTTGGAAACACGCGTCCATTTCTCGCCGTGATGAGGATCCGCGCTAATTGCTCGTTGCACAATTTTTTCAGCGCTTTCTTTTGTGCCGTGTTTAAGTTCAAAAAGGTAGTAGAAAGCCCACGCATCTCCAAAATCAGAGTCAAGCTGAATGGTTCGTTCTAACCACTTGCGCGCTTTCGAAAATTTCCGCTCTTGCCAGAAGAGTTTAGCAACAGACAAACATACAGCCGGATCGTTATCTTTCTTCTTAAGTGCAGTGAACGATGCACGCTTCTGCTGCGCTCTAGGGGCAATATCAATAGATTCAGCTAGGAGAATCCCCGACTCCGGGCATTCCTGCAATGCCTTCGCCATAAGCATTTCTTGGCCTTTCGGATTGTTCCATCGAGCCTCTAAACGAGCAGCTTCTAGCCATAACACTTCGTTTTTTGGATTTTTGAGGCGCCCCATTTCCAGTACCGAGCGTGCCTTTGTCACACCATTCATCGTCTCTTCTAAGCGACTAGATAGGGTCCACAGGGCAATAGATTTTGGACATCGCTGTATGCCTTCACGATACATTTTTTTCGCTTTGTCGAAGTCAGGTGGATCCAACGCCTCGTAAAATTGTCCAGCCATCATATACAGTTTAGGAAATTCCGGATACAACTTAACACCTTCCAAAATGAGCTTTTCTTCATCTTTGCGATTCTCAGCACATTCTCGTTCAAGTAACACAGACTTCATCCATACATGAGGCGATGGAGCTTGAGCTCGTGCCTTGGCTAACAATGCTCGAGCTAAGTCTATTTCATCATTTTCCCACTCCAATTTGACTGCAGCCAGCCAAATTGCTTCACTATTTGGATTCACGCTAAATGCTTGGCGCAAAATCAAGCGGGCGTTCTCGACCGATCCATTTGACCAGACCTCCTTCGCAGCCATCAGCCATAGAATCTCTGCGTGAGGACAGCTCGTGACGGCCTTTTGAAGCAGCTGTTCGACAGACTCGGAGCTTTTACCGTCCTGGATTTGCTTTTCTAGAGCTACAGCACGCAGCCAAATTGATTTCTTACCAGGAAAGAACTTCAAAGCAGCTGCATAAATAGCCTTCGCAGTCAACAAAGCCCCACGGCTGATGCTGTTCTCTGCATCATCCATCCACGTGCGTTTTCTATCTTCAGGATCGACGTCAACGTCCAAGCTAGCTCGCACAATTGCCGCGCACGTCAATGGTGAACCGGCTTGCTCACACGCCTCCGCTTCTTTCAACCACGTTTCCCGATTCATCACTACTTGATGTTTCTGCAAAGACTTGAGCGCTAGTTGAATAATACGATCAATCATGTCTAGATTTTTGCCTTGTGCTTCTTCTAGCTTGGCTGCCGTAATCCAAATAGCAGGCTCCGTAGGGATTGCAGCTCGGGCCTTGTTTAACGTTTTCTTAGCGTTCTCATAAGTCTCAAGTCGAGCCAAAGCCAGCCACAGATCCACTGCTTGCGGAACACACTCCACCGCACGGCCAAGAAGAATCCGCGCACCATCGACATCTTCCAGTTCAATAAGCGCTTTCCATAGCTTTACCGAATTAGGAATAAACTCTAATGCTCGACGCATCACGAGCTTTTTGAGCTCATCATCACTCTCAAGTTGCGCCGCTTGTAGCCAAACCTTGACTGACTTAGGCACGTGTCGTACAGCTTTAGCCAGAATGGTCTTGGCATTCTCTGGATTTTGTAATCGAGAAGCTTCAAGCCACACATCTTCCTGAGTAGGACAAGACTCGCATCCTTGTGCAATAATCTTTCTCGCCTGCACAATTTTCCCAGCCACTTCTTCTAATCTTGCAGCCGCAATCCATCCCGGTCCATGTTTTGGGTTTGTCATCGTGACTGACCTGAGCAAAAGTCTTGCTTTTTTGATATCTCCAATTTCAGCATCACTTGTAAGTTTTAAGCTATTCAAGTCTGTCAGATACCCTTTTGGATCTACTACAGTCTGTCCTGAGATCGAGTCCGACATCTTGTCAAGCTTATGTGATAATTGAGCGCCTCTTGCACCAGCTAATCCCGTTACGGAACTTGTTATTCCACTGGAAGTGTCCAATCCATTACCTGCAGGTGTAATCGTTCCACTAACATTCATGGAGTGACTTGCATTTACTCCCAAGAGACTATCAGGTACAGGAGCAAACATTTCGTTGCGTTTCTGCAATGCTGTATTTGTTTTATATTTAAGCGAGTAGTCTCCAATATCAGGAATCCTTTCCCATTCAGCAGCTGACATTTGTTGCAATGAGCTCTTAAGATCTGCAAATTGGTCGCTGATCTTCGGCATTTCTCGACGTGCTTTCTTTAGTTCTTCCAACTGTTTTAATTCTCGGCGTCTCTTTCGTCGTGAGTCCATACGCTCATCTACTTTTCCGTAGATATCATCGGCTTCCTTGTCATCAGCATCGTATGGAGTATCTTGAAACAATCCACGTGACGAGTAACCACTAAATTCGTCGTAATTCGTCTCACTATAGTCACCAAAATCCTCATTTTCATCCTTTTCGCGACCAAAACCGCCCATTCCCGCAGTTCCAGAGCCACGACCAGCACTTACACCTGGAATAGAGCCGGGAATCTCGACGCCGCGTCCGCGTCCGGCTGGTGGCAGGAACGGCGCATCCTGTGTCCCGTCTTGCGTCATTGGCGCGCGTGCAGGTCCGATATCTGATCGTGTCGTGAAACCCACGGCACCACGACCCAAACCAGGAACATAATTTGCCGGTGCGCCTGATGCATATGTGTTGCGCACACGCTGCCCCAATCCGCTCATGACCCCAGAGGTGCTTTTAAAACCTAAGGAAAAGAAATTTTACTGAAAAAATGCTAAACAAAATTCACGATCTAAACCCACAAAATGCCACTATCTTGACAAAAAAGCCGACAATCAAAGGGGCCAAAATGAAGTCTAGACACATTGACACCGGGGCTATTTCTCTCGGATGTTTGGATTTATGAATGTTTTTTAGTATTTGATAGCAAATGTCTTGATGATAAAATGACAGTCTTTGATGCAACGTATGATAATTAGCCAGCAGAAGCAGTGTACATGAGGTCCTGCCGAGATTCGGTCCCGGATTGAATATGAAGTCCTGAGTATTAAAAGACCACTCAATCTACAGTTTTTCTTCTAATGTGCAAAGAAAAGTTGTTGAACCCTGCGATAGCAAACAGAATGAATACTTCCTACGCTTAGGTGCCGCGTCAAGATGCAGCTTCTACATGGATTTGAGCCCAGATTACTGAAAGCAAATTCGCCATAAAGCGTGATTTTCAATACATCTACATCGGCTATGAAAGCCATTAGACGCACCTTTTGATACTATCATGTTCATACGCCGCAAGTTGGGCACTTCGGTATGCAAAATTAGACTGGTCTTGACACCTGATACGGTCCAACCTTCATAACGACTGTTATTACGATACGAGACTAGCTTAATGCATTCTTACATTTATTGAAGAATTACATGGCATAAATGTGTTCATCATATACCAAGCTGTTTATCAAATGTAACGACAGCTATTTTGCGATGTAGACCAGTGCAATTTATTGCTGAGGTTTTTGCCGGGCTTAATCAAATCAGTCATATAATTTCTTCACGTTAATGTCGTGTTGACAAATGACCGCAGGAACGACTCTGTTTATAGCAAGACAGTGATTTGCTGGGGTGAAGACTCCAAGTTATACCTTAAATATTCACTTGAAGAAAATTCATTTGTACACCAAAACTCATTTGAAGTGGAGCACATTCTGCTTTTCATACTCCCAAAGAGCACTTTCATTTCAACATACGCAGGGAGGTTGTTTGTGACATGATGTTCGTATCATTTGTCCTAATATCAACCTAAAAAGCAGACAATGGACAGCATGTTCTTGTCAAAAAGAGCTTTAACAATTATATAGATCAGCGCTTTTCTTGAATCAAAATGCCCAGCCAAATACAGAAAATGCTGGGAAGCAATCTCGTCCACAAACGCTTTATTGACAATTCAAGTCTGCGTCAGCCAAAGCACAGAGATTGAACTCGTATGCTCTAGCCAGAAACGATTAAGTAAACGAATAATACTATTATTCGAGATGCATAATTAGTGGGAATGTAGACAGCGCACCGTGCCATATACCTATCTAAAACTTAACAATGAGTTCTGCTGTCAAGTTCACCAAAATGCCCCTATTTTGACGGGAGATTTGGAGATGACCGCATTCGGCCAAGATACGATACCCTGACTCTGCCTAGACGTCATGCGAGAAGGCTGTTGACACCTCAAGCATCCTTGTGGGTTCTGTAGAACCAGATATCTCACTTCCCAAAGTTGAGCATACAATAGAGGTGGGCATGGCTAACTGTATGTGAGTTTCCTTACAAAAATAAAAAGGAGGGAACTCTTTACTTACTGATTTTTACTGTAACGGATCCTGGTATGAAGTATGTGGGTTACACACAATGATGTGACAGCACAATGGTGTGAAACAAGAAGTCAATACGTGGCTGGAACAGCCAGTAGTTATACATTTGATTAGGTTTTACTAATATAGATAGGAAGACCTATATACTTCGATAAAGGTGGCTTTGCCGCAAATAAAAATACAGTTTACGTCTTAAACATGCGTTTATGTTGTAATTACTCTTGGAGTGAGTGGATCGCGATCCGCTACACTCGTACTGGTCCTAATTAAAAAACGAAGGTCACCCACCTTGACCAAGCTTCCTCTAAGCGAAAGAGCTACGGCAGCTCCGCTGCACTTCCAATGCTGCGCGCGGCATGATTTCTGACCTTAAAGCAAGCAGCTCTACTAGAAACAGAATTCCGCTGCACTTGCGGTTGTGGCTGTGGCTGCTGTAGCTGCGGGCG